ACACATGGTCAAAGAACAGATGACACAGAATAACATCAGTGTAGGTTGCAAAATGTTTATTAGGTCACTGATATGGTGGTGAATGTTATTTCATTCATTGCCAGAAGATGACAGTTTTAAAACTTAAAAGGTAACAGAAGAGCATAAAAATAAATAATTGAAATGGTAGTTGCATCTGCGCTACTATTGGAAACCTGTAGCTGTAAGGGTTTTTGGTTTCACTGTGAAAATGGAACCATAAACCTTGTGTTAATCTTAATTGGTAAATTTACATTTGTTTGTAAAAATGTTGAACTATTTTACATTGGAAACATGAAAAAAAGAAAGAAATTTCAGCAACATGTTTTTCTCATTGTATCATAGTTTACAACCAGACAGCAGACAATTCACAACCAGACAGCATGAAGAATGTTGAACGAGGTAAGTTAAGACATGTCATGGATCATCACACCAGTATACAAAAAAAATGTCCACAGATACGTTTATAGGTTTATTTCATTTGTTGTAGGCAGTGATGTATTCAACAGATGATAACCACTAATAACAGACACCGTTTTAAAGCATCGCAAGCTAGAAATGAAGAGCACAAAGAACTGAAATCAATGTATAGGCTACAACTAGCTGAAGTTTGCTGAGCTTTATCCTAACACAAAGAATGCCTGCAATCATTCAGTCAGGGACGACTGCACAAAACGTGCACTGTAAACTAATAAAAACATTATAAACTGTTAGGAAATGATAAACAAATGTAGTTTGTGCAACACTGTACATTTATTTGCCTTTAAAAAAAAATATATATATATCCCATTAAACCTGCTGAAATACAGGGAGCATGAACTGAAATTCTCAGTTCCACCTGGTTCCACGCGCATGTCCGGGAATCTCATGAATATTCATGTATGCACCGCCCACTGAAACCAAAAATCTCGGAAACCAAAAATCTCGTAACACCCGGTCTGATCACCTGGCTAAAGGTAACGTGACGTCACTGCGTTAGCCACGCCCCACATTTTTCATTTGAGCGGAGTTACCAGAGTGTCACGCTTCTGTGCAGTAATGAGCCACTTTCTGCTAGTCATTTTCTCTCTCATCATCGCCAGTAAGTAGTTTAGTAGTTAATACAGTTCTGTAGTATAAGTCTATTTTTCAATTATTCAAAGTGCAAATACATTTGACAGGTGCTGCTGAGTTTCGCCGATGCTCTCCCCTATGGCTTAACGCCAGTCAAGTTAAAGTCAGCTGTAGCGACGTCCAGATTGCACAGTACTGTGATCCTGATCAGAGCTGTCGACACACGAGCAAGCCCGGGGTCTCGCTGGAGAAGCACAGGGAAAGAGGACTCTGCCTAACCATCACCAACTGCTCCTACGAGTCGTGGTCCTGCGAAGCACTGAGTTACGTCCATGCCGAAGAATTTGGGGAGAATTTTACTGTCCACGTGACGTGCAACCGTAAGTAATTTAAAGATTAAAGACTTCTTCCATTTATGATTCTTTAGTGCATTTCACTGATCATTTTGTCGTTAATAACTTGTCAAGGTGGCAGCTGAGAACTACCAAATGTTATTTATTTATTTATTTACTACCACACCAAGCTGACTGATTTCCATGCATTCATTTTTAAAATCACTTTGTTTGTTCCTCTTGTTCTTTGAAGAACCTACTAGCACGTTGCCCAGTCCAGGACCTACAAGCACTTCAGCAACTTCAGGATCTGCCAGCACTTTGCCCAGTCCAGGCAATAATGAGTCACAGTCAGAGTCTCTTTCAGCTGGGGTCATTGTGCTGATCATCTTTGGGCTGATCATCGTGTTGATCATCTTTGGGCTGATCATCTTTGTGCTTTGCATCCGTTACAAGAAGGTAAGTGTTTTCAGAGGCAAATAAAATCTTTGTTGGTGAAGAGCTTTATTAAAGGAATAGTTCACTCAAAAATGAAAATTATCATCTTTTACTCACCCTCAAGTTGTTCTTAACCTGCATGACTTTTTTTTTCTTTTTTCTGTGAACAACAAAACACAACAGTGTGAATGTCAGGGTTGCTTTTTACGTATTAATGTGGATCAGGGACCCCAACTGCCAGGCTTCAAAAAGATCAACAAAAGTGCATTTAATATACCATGAAAATTGCCCAGAAAACCGTGTGCCATATTCCAGGTCTTCAGAAGTCGTATCAGCTTTACATGCGGAAATGGATGGACTTGTAAGTTGTTATTTCCCCGTTGCTATAGCACCCAAATTTATTTTACATGTAGGCCCATTTAAAGATTGGCGATTGGTCATGGGACATGAGAAATAAAGGCTTCAGAAGACTTGGAATATATTTCACAAGTTGTGTGGACTATTTTTTGTCCACAGAAGACAAAGTCGTACAGGTTTGGAATGACATGAAGGCGAGTAATTGATGAGAGAATTTTTTTTTTTTTTTTAGGATCTCAGGAGATCTGAGATATTAGAGTTGCAGTCAAGCAAATAAACTTCTGAAACACTTGTTCATTGTCGATTACTGCCATTTTCACATAATACTTCAATAAAATTACACAACAAGATCAACAACTAAATCAGATTTTTAGTAATTTTTTAAACATATAAAATATTTGTCCTTGCAGGTGAAGTGCTTCAGGAAAGCCATTCGTGACATCTTCTGTCATAAACGAAGTATCAATGTAAGTGTTATCATATGCAAATTAAATGTTAATCATATGCAAAAAAAAAAAAAATGGGGGGCACATGTCAGAAAACTGCCTACAAGCCAAGGCTACGGCTCTGACATATGATTTTAGATGTTCTTCCTCACCAACTATTTTCATGAGAATGAAATGCTTGTGCATATTGTGAAAAGACATTTATTTTGACCTTTTTCAGTGTTTTGTTTTTAACAAATTTGTGTTTGATTGCCATTGCAAATAAATCATATATGGCATATCACAATCACAAGACTATCTTAATTAACTTTTGGTTTGGCCAATTGGAAATGTAATATGATGATACTGACCTTGAAATAGTCACTCATTTATGTAAAATTAGGGCCAGTTTTTGCACCTTTGAAGCACACAGTGGGAAGAGGACATTGTAAATGAAAGTGAGCAAATAGATCCCTTCACGAAGGGTCTTTCCACAAGGCCTTTAGCAACATATACTTTGATGGTCACTTCAAGGAAGTCCTTATGCCATATGTGTCCCTGGAGCACAAAAGCAGTGTTAAGTCGCTGGGGTATATTTGTAGCAATAGCCCAAAATACATTGGATGGGTCAAAATTATAGATTTTTCTTTTATGCCAAAAATCATTAGGATATTAAGTAAAGATCATGTTCCATGAAGATATTTAGTAAATTTCCTACCGTAAATATATCAGAACTTCATTTGGACAACTTTAAAGGTGTTTTTCTCAATATTTTGATTTTTTTTTGCATCCTCAGATTCCAGATTTTCAAATAGTTGTATCTCTGCCAAATATTGTCCTATCCTAACAAACCATACATCAATGGAAAGCTTTTTTTTCTATTTAAGACTGGTTTTGTGGTCCAGGGTCACATATGATTTTCTGATCCTGTTTGGCAAATTGGATATCCAGTCATAATCCAACATTCAGTTTGCGGTATTTTATATACACAGAGATGTATAGCACTTATTATACAATTCAATTTATTAGATTTTATTAAATTTATATAAGTTATGAAATTTAAAAAAAAAGAATTTTTTGCTGAATGATGCTGAGGAGTTTTCTTAAAATATTGTGTCTGAATTCACTTGCAGAGGACTCCTAGAGAAGAGCATTTGGTTGATTTGGAAGGCGGGAAGAAAATCATGGTGTAAAGTATGTCAGACATTTACATTGTATTGTGATAGTTTTGTCAAAAAGCTTTCGTCTTTGTGGCACACTAAAAGTCAGGTGAAATTTAATTTTATTAACGTATTTACAGGTAATGATTAAGAAAAACCTACTCCGGGAATACAACATGAAGGAGATCTCTTCTGCCACCTCAACTTGAATATGATGTGCAATAGTTAAGTTAAGTGATATCCTGGCATACAAGGCAGTCAACAGACCATTGTCTTGTTGTAGAGGTCTGCATGAGAGGTCATCCCACCTGTACGCAGCAATCATAATCCCGTGCCAAACTGTTGGGTCAGATACCATGGACGTGCCTTCAAACCTCTACCTTGGTAAACCTACCAGAAGTCTCAAAGTTCTTCTAGAACAGGGATTTTCTACATTTGATGTTTACCTCTGCAACAAAGTCATGATAAACTAAAGTACATTTTACTCTGCATAAGAGTGTCTGGCAAATACTTCTGTTTATATATACTGTGTATTACGCCACTGGGTTTGATTGTTACATGACTGGTTTTGGAATCAGCATTGGGACAGTATTGTAATCTTGTGCCATCCTGAGGAGGAGGGCTTCTCCACCCGAACATCTCCCAAGGTTTATTCCTCTGTAACTAAACCTTTTGGGGAGTTTTTTCTTCACACTGTCACCTTTGGCTTCTTCACTGGGGGACACAAAGACCACAGTATGTATTTTAAGAAGTGCTGCTTAAAATGTATTTATAAATATTCAGTATTTTAGTTTTTTATGATGTTCTAAATTATTTTATATTAACTTAACGCTTGCACAATTTTCCCTTAAAATAAAATTTCTTGAAAAAAAAAAAAAAGGCTTGTGTTTTTATTTTTTTGTTGGATGATTGACTTGATATTCGGACTAGATATTCGAATTCTCTCAAGAAAATGTAATTATTTTACTATGAAGGTTGCAGGTGTGTTAACTGATAACCTTTTGTTTTATTGTGGCACAAATGTGATACAAAAGGTACAATTGTTAAAGATTCTGCAAAAATTTCAAAAAGACTTTACCGGTAAAAGGCTCAAATATACACATTTCTATAGCATTTAATTGATAGTATTGTTCTGTTTTACCTTTGCATGCCACTGCAGAACACAAACCACTAGACCACTTCCTGCTCCACTGGCACTGCTTTTCATTTGAAGGGGTTTCATTTCATTGAACTGCATTATTTTGTAAAGAAAGATAGCTTTGATGTGAATTCTAGGATAACTGATAAACAGTAATGTGAGACTGGAAAAATTACTCTGTTATTGTCTTGCATTTTTGACCAACTATTTTCCTGTTTGACACTGTAAAGCTCCTTTGACACGACAAGTATTGTATAAAGCGTTATACAAATAAAGGTGACTTGACTTGTAACTAACTAAAGCCCCATATGCATGATTCTATATGACATGTTGGTTGGTCTCACAAAAGTATCACCATCACACAGAAGCAGCAGCTCTTCTCCGAGATGAGCAGAACCTCAGATTCTCAATAAGAAACCCAACAGTGGTGATTCCCACCAGACCAGACAGAACCAGACGAATCAGAGCCTCAGTGGAGCCACAGTGATCCAGACAATCTGAAAGAGAAGAGAGCAGCTCATGAACATTTTCTGGCTCATCAAATGTCTTTGTGGAAAAACAGATGCTGCACAGAGGTCATTACGGCAGGCAGAGTTCTGTGGTAAATGTAGTTTGTGTGTCACACCTTCCTGTCGTGGGCAGATCTCTTTCTTGTGAAGACGGACGCTCTTATTGCTCACTGGATTCGCAGCCGTGCAGCTGTAGGTCTCTGGATCGTTATAATGAAGCTCTAATGGTAAACTGAGGTTGATGCTGAGATCAGGATTGCTGGTCTGATTCAGCATTTCACTCCCTTTATACCACGAGATAGACACGTCTTGACCATTCTTCACAGAGCAGACCACAGAGCAGAAATCTCTATATGGAAATCCTGAGAGGAAACAACTCAGTTCAATGGCCAAACTGTAGTGTTATAAGGCCAAAATTATAATTATTTAAATGATTTTATAGCTTGAAACATAACTTATTGTAACTATCAATCAGACGAGAGAAGACATGTAGTATATGTTTGCAAAGTTTTCATCATGTTGATTCAAAACTTTTTGAGATTTGCATATCAAATATGACACAGGCTTTATAGGCACTAAGTAACATCTTTACATCAAAGTTTGATCTTCTTTGCCTGCTAAGATACGTTTAAATAAATATATGAGAATACAGATAAGACTGACCTTCAGAATGATTTGCACTGACCAATGAGCCACCAGTGATGACAGGCACAGAAACCGGTGCTTTAGGGCAACAGAACACAGAAATAACATCAGAGAATGCCATTTCAAGGCATATTGGGATCTGGCCTCATATAAAATCTTGGCCAGATTCACAAAAATCTTTTTAAGAAAGAAGTTAAGACATTAAGTTAACATTCTATTAAGTTAAGAAATATTTTCTTAATAAATTTTTTTTCCATTCAGGTTTTAGTGAATGTACGGCAATTCTTTCCTGAAGACTCGCCGATCAACTTGAAAAACAGCTGTAGTTATCTCAACAAGCGTGCACAATATTTTTTAATGTGCTACATATTTTAATTATTTTGTACTGAATGCTTCTCGTAATTAAAAAATGAGGTCCACATTTCAGTTGATTTTAAGTTGTTACTACATTTCGAATTTAGTCACATCAAACTTCACGTTTACATCAGGGCTTCCCAAAGTAGGGGTCGGGACTTTTAATTTTTTTAAAGGATTAGAAATAGCATATTTTACCCATAAATAAAAAATTATAAGTTGAATTAAAAATAAAACTCTAGCGTGGAGTTTTGTACTCCAGCATGTTGCCCACCCAACTAATCAGGTAAGATTAATGTTGAAATGTAAGTGAGTAAATTACTATAAAATAATATTATTGTTGTTAGACTGTTGTGTTCCTTTGTGTTGTCACTATGCTATAAGTGCATGTGCGCCGTTGTGCAAAACGTTTGTTTACTTTAACCACCTCAGAGGAAAGTGGGGGTCCCGAGGTACTGGCACTGTCTTTTTGGGGGTCATGGGCTGAAAAGTTTGGGAACCCCTGGTTTACATTATCAATATCAGAGTTTAGTGGGGCAAGGAACACGTCAAACCAGGAAATTAAACTAAGATCATTAATAGAAAGCAAAAGACATAAACACCATATGACATATCCCCCCCTCTAAGGGCGGCTCCTGACGCCCTAATGCAACATCCACCCCAACCAACACAACAAAACGTCCAGGAGGGGGGAGGACTGGCGGTGGTCCAGGGGGTGGGATGGAGGGCCAGGCCCGTGAAGAGGAACACAACTGAAATGTTCCCAGGCCCAGAAACGCAGTAAGGACAACGGTAAAACAGTCCATGGTATATCAGTGGTTCAACCGTAATGTTACAAAGCTATGAAAATAGTTGTTGTGAGCAAAGAAAACAAAAAAACATCTTTATTCAACAATTCTTCTCCCCTTAGTCACCCTGTGCCTCCATTATCGAGAGTACCACGACGCATGCGCATGATGCTGTTGAAGTAGAACATGCATGTGCTGCGCCTTTATAATTAATTAATGACAGAATTTAAATTTTTGGGTGAACTATCCCTTTAAAGTACAATTTTAAGAAAGTATGATGATCGTTTTCATTATACTGAATTTAATTGATACTAATATAATAATAAAAATGATCATCGTCCAGATTATTTTTCACCGAAGATTACCGAAATGAGAATGACTGAATGAGAATGAAAATCATACATTTTCAAATTGCAGTAATTTAGAAGGAATGTTTAATAGAAAATGTGAAAACTGTCATGAACAGTTTTTGAACATTATTATTTTCTAATTTTAGACAGAATTTAAATTTTTGGGTGAACTATCCCTTTAATATGCCATGGGACACAAAAGGCATTTTCTCAGTATAGGTCTATGCTGTGACTGACAATAGTTATACATACACATCTTTTCATTGTGGTTATTGTGGCAGAAAGAGAGTTCTATGGTAAATGTAGTATTTCTTGTACCTTCCTGTTGTGGGCAGATCTCTTTCTTGTGAAGACAGACGCTCTTATTGCTCACTGGATTCGCAGCCGTGCAGCTGTAGGTCTCTGGATCGTTATAATGAAGCTCTAATGGTAAACTGAGGTTGATGCTGAGATCTGGATTGCTGGTCTGATTCACTATTTCATTCCCTTTATACCACGAGATAGACACGTCTTGACCATTCTTCACAGAGCAGACCACAGAGCAGAAATCTCTATATGGAAATTCTGAGGAGGAAAAAGTTGAAGTAGAACATGCATGTGCTGCGCCTTTATAATTAATTAATGACAGAATTTAAATTTTTGGGTGAACTATCCCTTTAATATGCCATGGGACACAAAAGGCATTTTCTCAGTATAGGTCTATGCTGTGACTGACAATAGTTATACATACACATCTTTTCATTGTGGTTATTGTGGCAGAAAGAGAGTTCTATGGTAAATGTAGTATTTCTTGTACCTTCCTGTCGTGGGCAGATCTCTTTCTTGTGAAGACGGACGCTCTTATTGCTCACTGGATTCGCAGCCGTGCAGCTGTAGGTCTCTGGATCGTTATAATGAAGCTCTAATGGTAAACTGAGGTTGATGCTGAGATCTGGATTGCTGGTCTGATTCACTATTTCATTCCCTTTATACCACGAGATAGACACGTCTTGACCATTCTTCACAGAGCAGACCACAGGGCAGAAATCTCTATATGGAAATTCTGAGGAGGAAAAAACACCTTAGATTTATTCAAAGGCACAAACTGAGCTAAAATATGCAGCTTGGCCAATAATTAAGATTGTAATGTAAATCACTAAGATATTTATAACAGCATAGCAGACTACTAACATAAAATTATATAAATATCAGTCGTCACTCTGTATCTCCAAATAATATGTCTTAGTAAGATGATATTTAAATTCTTAGTTTTATGATCAAAACATAATGCAATGCAATACAATGATGATTGAGACATGAACAAATAAACATTCCTCAAAAGCCTGATGAAAAATGCTGAAAGGATAATCAAGTAAACCTTACAACAGTTGCTTCAGTCTAGTAAGTGTTCATATTGAAATATTACTCAGAATATAAAAGTTTTTCTTACATTTACTTAAAATCAGTAAAGCTTTCATAGCAAAAAGACAATTGAAGCACGAGCTGAAGGTGGACATTTGTACAGTTATACTAAAAGGCCTTTTACTTGATAAAAGTCTAAACTGTTAATCAGACGAGACGACAGAAGGCATGCAGTAGATTGTGTGCAATATGTTTTTTCAGCAAAGGTTTGAACGTGTCCTTAGAAATACATTTAAATGAATATAGTCATAACCGGCGATCGTAGATGATACAGTCATACAATGCCTATGTCTCTTTTCAAATATAATACAGTCTAAAGTCTTTAGGTGGACAGCAGTACTATGAGAACATTACGGCCTTCATCCCTGAATCCCATTGATATTAATGTCTGATATTTGATCTCTTTCCCCACAATTGACAATTTTCTGACTTTCCATGTTTTCACAGGTATACTGTAGCGGGTGCTATTACACACCTTCTGAAAGTGTATTGAATCCCCAGATCAAAACACGGTGAAGAAAAGCCGAAACAAGCGATCGTGTAAGTAAGCAGATGCATATGTAAAATAACACGATCAAGCATTAAACAGCATACCAAATCAAAACTGCCTAAAGGGGTGATGGGGGGGCTACTGCTATTTCATGCATTCGGAGTTATTTACA